GGAGGCCATTGCTACTAGCCTACCGTAATCGCGTTGCGCCACTCGAGTACGTCGCGGCGGTAGAAGAACTAGTCACTAGTCACACTACCTGCTGGTGGCGCCTCAAACGAACGCTAGCAGTAGCACCTCTCTTTCTACCCAAAAGTGTCGTTGTCTACAATGCGACACCCGCCCTTGTTGCTTTTTCATTTCCACAACAATGACGCCAACAAGAACAACAATGTCAACATACACACGAAAACTATGCTACAGGGACACTCGACAACGGCCCGACAGGAACAAATTGAAGAAATAAAGCTCCTGATGCTGCATCATTTCCAGCGATGCGGGCTACAAACGACAAATTGCATGGGGGCCTAAGTGAGTTTGTTGAACTTGTTTACCAATCTGCAAAAAGTTTAGGCAACATGCGACTTCATGTCATGAATCCTGAACCAAAAGCTGCAGGCCACTGGAACAGTTTTCAATGATTTTCAAATCAAAGCATGGGACACAGTGGCATCAAAGAAAGCGGGGCAGCACCGAAGGCCGACGTTCAACTTCAAGAATGTCTACCCCAAACACCGCAGCATCGGCCTGCAACACTGGCAGCGTCAGGAGCGCCCCTAGGAGCGCCCTTGCTGCTAATAGCGATGCCCTTGTTACTAGTAGCGTCCTTGCTCCTAGTAGTATGGCCAGGAGCGCCTCTAGTAGCGTCCTTGGTCCTAGTAGCGTGCAAAAGGAACTCAACAGAGCAAGTGATATACTTTATGATGCGGTGGTGGAAGCGCTGTGATTTTATGATTCCGGAGTGCAGGGTATAGGGCGTGAAGTGGTACGCTTGCACAGGGAATTTGAAATGACACAGTGGGGAAAGGAGTCGTGTGTTTGCCTTTCATGGATCTGGTGATGGAAATGATGCAAGTACATCATGGGGTGGTCATGAGGAAGAGAAAGAAGGAGGAAATAGTAGGGCATAGATGATACACACAAAACTATACAATATGCATGATCGGCAAAAGACCTAGAGATGAACCGCACATACAATGCACTGATGCACTGTGAAAAAGACATGTGTTTAGGAAATGACAAGCTGCAGGCATTGTTGGATATAAGTTGGCCCCCATAAATGTTATGGTGTTTACCACAGTCGGGGTTGCATTGGGCAGGTACGTTTAGCCCCATAGCATATACCACAATGCGATACAAGTACAATGCAATGGATGCAAAATAACAACTGGCAAATTTGCAGGCATGGTTGACAATAAGTTGGGCCCCCTTATATAAAATGTGCAGTTTCAAGCGGGTGGAAAAATAGAATAATACACACGGTACGCACGATACAATACAAAAAGAACAACAAATGGCAAACTACCCACGCCGTCTCTCAAAACAAGTGGTGCGGGCGGCTTGTGTCGCGATGCGACCTGAATGTGTACTTCTCCGTACGGAAGATGAAATGTGAAATATATGTGGATATAGAATGTCACACATGAAGGTCTGAACGCATCAACCACCTTCTAAATTGACTCAATCACTAGAACCGCTTGGAAGGAAGGCGGGGACGATGTGAGGAAGGATGCGCAGAACGTGAAACCCTCGCTTTGGAGCATGAAACCGTCGCTTTGTTGAGAAACAGCTCTTTGATTTTGGGCTGCCTCTCGAACAAAATGCCTAGACTCCTAGACTGTCCGCAACCAGTGCGATTCCTGGTCTCACACCGGCCGTGGAGGCACAATGGCAGAAGAATAAAATAAATAAAACAGTTCATGGCCTGGGAGTGACTGCGCGAGGGTTTGAATCCTTAAACTGCAAGCACTGGGTGACAGCCACGGCCACCGATGACGCTCAAGGTGTGGCCATCGCACCGAATCCGATGATTTTACAAACTGGAACAAAGTGGGCAATATAGAACAAGAAGCTACTAGGGGCTCCTGGCATCGCTACTAGGAGCAAGAAGC